AACGAGACTGTAAGGGAATGAAAAAAATAACATCAAAAAATATATAAAAAGAAGGAAAGGAAAAAGAAAGAGAAGCACAAAAATTGCTTTAAAATAATGATTTTATAAAAGATCAATACGGCTATAGCAGAAAAGATAGACTGAAGTACAACGATCTAATTAGACAAAAACAAAATCAGTAAGTTATGTTTGGTGGTAGCCATCTTAATTGGCTGTGCTTGCAGCTTTCAGAGAATAAAAACGATAAATCAGTGGACACCCTGCACACAATATTCAGTTTTAATTTCAATCGATTATTGCATAATAAGACAAAAGTTAATTACCTTTTTCTTCAGATCTGCTGAAGAATGTGAGCAAGCAAAGAGGGAAATGAATCGTAAACTAGACGACCTTGACGCTGCCGTTGATGATGCAGAGTCACGAAAACCTTCCACAAGACAGAGAGACCTCAATGGCATTGATTTGTGYAAGGCTCAGCTAGACAGACACAATGTAAGTCCACTGATGACTTTATCCCTAATAAATTTATTATGATTATATTTGAAAATGGTCGCTGATACCACTAATSAACAATCCACCCAAAAGCTTCACAAGTACGGCAAAATCCAAGCCYTTTTACCTGACTTGGAGTTGTTGTCAGTTTTCAGTGTTGTTTATTGCAAGATACCGATTACGTTTTACACTAATAAAATGTTTTATCATATAATTATCTATGAAATACCTATATTTCTCCATTTCGTAAAATTGATATTTTCAGTAGTGAAAATAACATGTTATTTTCACTACTGAAAATAACACATTCGAGGTTTMTCTATATAATGCAAGTAAGAAAAAAGGTATTTTACGACAAAATTTGCTTTCATATAAAATTCGCTACGCTCACTCGTGAGAGATCTTTTCAACACTCGAATATAAAATTCGTATCTCCGCGCGCCCATGTAATATCCTCTATATCTAACCGATAGTTGCCTCCATTTCAGAAATACCTTCGATCACTTGATTCATTGGATCAAACWAAAGCTGGYGTGTTCAGAGARGTAGACGAAACCATCAACAACGRATACTGTGATCAACAAGAGGCTGAACGGTACAACTTGAGAATGAGATCTATAGATGATCGTATCAAAGGACTAAGAGATGAAGGCATTGAGAATAAAGAAAGGTGACAAAATGTATAAAAAATCCTGTATGGCCGATCGATCACGATTTTGGTTTTGCTTCTTATGAGGAGGGCATCGTGCTTGCCAGCATGTTTTAGCTGCATGATAGCGTGCATTTTTTAGGCCTTGGCGCGAAAAATTTTGAGAGCTTGCCATGGAGAGCGTTTAAAAATGTATACCTTGTTTCTTGTTATTACCAAAAGATTACATTATTTTACATCATTTTTAGGGTAACTTCCTCATTGAACATACTACTGAAGCAAAACCTTCAGAAGATAGAAGACTTTGTAATCAAGTCAGAAAATCACATCAAAAATGCTRAAGAAGTCAGTAAAGATTATGATACAGTAAAACAGCAGCAGGACGAACATCAGGTTGAGAACTACTATTAAAAAAATATATGTTTATCAAAATCATGTTGCCATTATTCCTTTATTATGTTTTTGTTGGCAAATTTTCTCATTTTTAATACGTGTATCTTGCGAACTTGAAAATGTTGAACTAATATGACTTCATGTCAACGAAAACTAATAGCATCAAGTTCCACAGAGGGAACTGATACACAATTTCATACAYTCAGATCAAAGATGCATTTCAAGATGTTATAGTTACCAAAATAACAACCAATTACCATCTCAATTTGTCTACGTTTCTCATAAGTTGTCAAGCATGAAAGTTTGGGCGGACGAGAAATTGTTAGAATGAAGATTATTAAATAATAAAAAATGATTTTTTTGTTTCAGAAATTTCGGGAAGATCTGAACGATCACAAGTTTATCAATATGATTCTTGATGTGGACGTGWCTGACCCTTCAATAGACAACAAAACACGTGCACAGATAAAGTCGATCAGTAGACGATGGAAGGAAGTGTCTGAATGGTCAGARGAGAGAAGAAAGAAGCTTATGGGGTAATCTAACTCACATATTTCAATACTCCAGTTTCRAGATCTCATTTGTGCAGCCTTAACCTCGAAAGCATGTAATATATTCTTTTATTCAGCAGAGATCCTATTGTTATGCAAACACTAAGCTTGCACAAAAGAGAAGAGAATTCGAAACTGGAGTCCCCCCCCCCAAAAAAATATATATATATATAAAATATACTACGGTCGTCCTAATCCAACTCCTTGTCTCGATCAGGGCCTTAGGGCAATGGCAGAAGTTCCGAGACGAAGAGCTCATCCTTCTTAATTGGCTTGCTGGAAAAGAAAAGGCYCTGAAAGAGATTAATAAGACAGACATAATGGATGACGCCGAAGTAAARAAGAGCGAGAAAGCTCTTGATGTAAGTGTGTTATGAAAATGCTAATGCAAAAATGTGTAAATTCAATAAACCGCAATTTTCGTATATGTGGTCTATTTTTTACGCTTGTTAACTATTGCTAAAAAGCTATATGTATATAGGCTGTATAAGTATAGTATAGGTAATAACATTATAAAATCGCTCTTGAAATTCAAACATCGATAAAAGTGTTGCCAATATTAAAATACAGATCTGATCCTACACGTAGTCGACTACCATTCTCTCAGAAAGAGCACATTGCAATCAAAGCTAACTTGGTTAATTTATGTATCTGATTAGCAAATTCAAAAAGAGCTGGAGGAACAGGAAGCAAGGCTTGACATCCTTCACGAGTGTGGGGATAAACTTATCCAGGAATCTGGTAACGATATAGAAGCGAAAGATGAAATCGAAAAACAATTAAAGGACTTCGATGGTTGTTGGAACGATATTGCAAGACAAGTTATTGAAGGGAAAGAAAAGGTAAACAACAAACAATTGAAAAACATCAATAACGGTCTACTCTTCACAATTCTTAGAYTTAATCCGTACGTTTAATTGCATCAAAGCAAGAGCGCAATGAGCGAATTGAAAACCTTCAATATTATCTTTTTGTGTTTCAAGCMAAATATCACGGTATAACTATCAATACCAAGCTCTCTATTCGTCTAACTGGTAAACACCTTTTCATGGGGTTATGCGAAATAGCCTTAAAAGATACTAATATACTGATCTAGCTCAATGCTTAACTACCTTCACTACGTGCTTGATCGACATATCTGTTTCAATCTATTACTCTACCATTCTTAGCTCCAAAATGCAAGTAATAAAATCAGGGAGATGCACACGGAAATGGAGGAGGTCAATATTTGGATGGATGACGCAAACAAACTAATGGAAGATCACGACAAAGAAGAAAATCAAGAGGAGCAGAACAAAATCAAAGACAAAATTGAGGTAATGAAATTTTATTTTATTTTTACATTTAATAATTAAAATAATGTTACTAGATAGGCATTGATAGTGTTCTGAAAAATAATAGTATACATGCGTGATATCATTAAAAATTTCAATAAAAGATTTCGATATTATCATTGATCTTGTTTCATCAACCAATAAGTTATTTTATTACCAAGCTTTCTGGCCTTAGGCCCATCATCAGGGTTAATGGAGTCAACACTAAAAAAAACGTTACAAATCCACGCACGATATGGCGTAAACAACAATATCCTCGAGCGCTTACAAAAACAAAAAATAAGCGCGAGCTATAATTAAGGTTGAGTTCTATAATTACAATATGTTCAATTCAATAGAGAAATATAATTATCAGGCAGTTTTCTGCCGATAATGCCGGATAATGTTGTTTACGCCATATCGTGCGTGGATTTGTAACGTTTTTTAGTGTTGACTCCATTAACCCTGATGATGGGCCTAAGGYCMGAAAGCTTGRTAATAAAATAACTTATTGGTTGATGAAACAAGATCAATGATATGTCTAAGCCAACCAACAAACAAATATTTGATATAGACTTCGATATTTTTTTGTGGGTGTCAGAAGCTATATAGTAGCATTAATAACGTATTTCAAATATC